GTACGTTCTGCCTGTATAAAAACTGAAAGTACAGAAGCATGGAGAGGGTTACCTGCTAAATGAGCCACTATGACTAAAAAAAATTACTTGGTAGCCAAAGTTCCAGTGATGAGCCTCTCTCACCTTAACTAAGATGCTCTTCCTACGAACTTTTCACTGGATCCATTTTCTTTTAAATTTTCCAATTAATAAGCAAACTCTCTCTCTCTCTTTCTCTCTTTCTCTCTGTCTGTTGCTCCCCCAATTCTTTCTTCCCTCTTTCTCCCTTCTTTCTCTTCATTACTACCCCCAAATATGCATAGTCCAGCAAACCAAATTCCTACATTGACCATTTCTAAAAATGTGTCTTTTCTTTTATTTTGAATCTGTCAGCTCTGTAAGGAGGTGGGTAACATTCATCATCAGTCCCCTGGAATCATGGTTGGTCATTGTACTGATCAGTCTTTAAGTCTTCTAGACCCATTCTTGAAGTAGCTTGGTAGAACTTGTCAAAGCTCATGCTTTGCTGACATTGCCTTCAAGAACCCACATCACAGTAAAATATTCAGGCTTTTTTTTCCCTTTTTCAGTAAGATACACTTCTAAATAAAGTGACACACACTCTTCCCTTATTTTTCCTCTTCTGTGTCTCCTTGTTCAACAGGCTAGCTTTGTTGCTTCTGAAAATAGGACAGATATTTCTCTGGATGATCCTAACTTCTGGCAAAAGTGGGCTAAAAAAGCTGACCTAGATATGGATTTACTCAACAGCAAGGTGAGTTCTTCATTCCCTTGAGTGGTAGCAGATGGACCTCTGTATTTCAAGATGATTTCGCAATACTGCTTCATATTCCACTAAGCCTGGGGAGTGATCTAATAATGTGTAGTATATCACCATAGGTTGTTTATCCTCATTAGAAGGGGCAGAGCATAATGAAAGTTTGGCTTCCTTTTCTCCTTCACGCAGAATAACTTGGTGATTGATACACCACGAGTGCGTAAGCAGACACGTCATTTTAGCACTCTGAAAGATGATGACCTGGTGGAATTCTCAGATTTGGAAAGTGAGGATGATGAGCGGCCTCGATCCCGCCGACATGACAGGCATCATGCCTATGGACGCACTGACTGCTTCCGGGTGGAAAAGCACCTCTTGGTGTATGGGTAAGAGGCTACTTTGCAGCTAAAGGTGGGATGCACATCTGCACCCTACTAGAGTAACCCTGTGTTTCTGGTGCTGAGAAGAGAGAAGTCTTATTCCTTCCAAAGTGTAAGATTTGACTGTAAGAGTGGTATGGTTGAAAATACTCTGGGGCTTTCAGAGAAGATATATAGCCAGTCATTGTAACAGTGTATTCTTTAAAACCCTTTTTTTCTCTTTTGGGGAAATCTGTCTGCTTCAAACATAACACGTCATTGAACAAGAGGCTCCAAAAAGATGGTTGTGGTTCTTTCTCTGTCTTTGAAGCTGGGGTCGCTGGCGAGATATTCTGTCCCATGGGCGGTTCAAACGAAGAATGACTGAACGGGATGTGGAGACAATCTGCCGTGCCATTCTTGTGTACTGTCTTCTGCACTACCGTGGGGATGAAAACATCAAAGGCTTCATTTGGGACCTGATCAGCCCTGCAGAGAATGGCAAAACAAAAGAACTTCAGAACCATTCAGGTAACCATCAACTCTCTTTTTCTCCCTTTTACCTCCTCATGGGTACCTGATTTATTCCATATCCAGGGGGTTTTCTTAGTCTAGGTCTTCCACTGTCTGCCTATTCCTATCAGGTTTGTCTATCCCAGTGCCCCGGGGACGCAAAGGGAAGAAAGTGAAGTCCCAAAGTACCTTTGATATCCACAAAGCAGACTGGATCCGGAAATATAACCCTGACACCCTCTTCCAGGATGAAAGTTATAAGAAACACTTGAAACATCAGTGTAACAAGTAAGCAAGGGGCTTGTCAAAACTTGTTTGTTTTGTAATCATGGAGTGGTAAAAGTTGCTTTCTGTTTTACAACAGTGTTAACTAAAGTTAATATTCATCTTTTCTAGGGTGTTGTTGCGAGTACGCATGTTGTATTACCTGCGGCAGGAGGTTATTGGTGATCAGGCAGAGAAGGTGTTGGGAGGCGCCATTGCTAGGTAAAGTTGTATTCTCTTTCCTGACTATTAGAAGAGTGTATTCTACAATTTGTCACTAGAATTTGAGGATTAGAGGGTTTGTTAGGGAAGAGGGGAGATTTAGTCCTGTATATGTAGTACCTAAGAGAGAAAGGATCAAGAGCATAGAGGCACCCCAATCTAAGAGAATTTTTTAAATATCCATAATAACTTCTCATAGGGCACCATTTTTGTTAACTGCTATGTGACATGAAACACTATTATATTACTTCTCTTCCCTCATGCCTTTCTAGTGAGATTGATATATGGTTCCCAGTGGTGGATCAATTGGAGGTCCCAACAAACTGGTGGGATAGTGAAGCTGACAAGTCCTTGCTCATAGGAGTCTTTAAACATGGTATGTGCCTCTTCTGAAAAATAGTCCCCATCACCTTCTCATTTCCCTATGCTCCCTGCTCAGATCTGTCTTGATGAAGACTTGTGTCCAGTAAGGGTATCAAAGACTGATTAAGACCCAAATTCATAGGATTTTATAATCAGTCTTTAATAATGGGGAATAGAAAAACCAGCATGCTTGAGTGAAAAACTAAACTTGCAAGTCATGTTAACTGTTTCAGAGTATAGTGCTTATTAGTGATGTAATATATACATATTTAGGTATTCATTAAATGTTTGATGGATGGATCTTACCTTTGAATCCAGTATCATTACCAATATCATTAGAATAACTGGAATGTATTTTTCATCCTGTTCCCACTAACCGTTGTCTGCATCAAAAAGTGAAATATTCATACTCTCATCATCAGTCAGCTCAATCTGTGTGGCCACACAGGCTTTCTGGAAGTTTGTGATGTGTCCTGAGCAATCACTTGTTGTAAATCTTAGAATCTGGGGAAGTAGGAAAAAAAGAAAGGAAAAAAAAAAGGGAAGCCTGAGCAATGTACAAAGTAAAAAGCTGCCCTTCACAACCTCGTTCATTGACAAATTCCAGACACTGAGAGTTGAGAATTGCCCTTCCAGGCTAATGGATGTAGTGAAGTGATAATGAGAAATCTTAGATTCAGTTTTTAATTCTACCACTCCTCTCTGGCATTACTAGAGCAACGTTTGTTGTAGCTGCATGTGAGAGGTTGTGCTACATCATAGATATATCTTGGAACTTGGAAGATCTGGATTCAGATCCAACTTCTGCTACTACCTGTAATGACCATTGGCAAGTCACTTAACCTTTCTGGGCCTTAAGTATCCCCCTAAGTCTATAAGTTATGAACAGTTGCAGTCTTTCTTAGTGGAGGAGGTTCCCACACCACCAAAATCATAGGTCTTTGCTATATTGGCATACTTCTTAGTTTAAAAAAAAAGTTTAAAAAGGAGTAAAGAAACTTGTTTTCCTACCTACTCTACAGGATATTGAGAAATTGAATGATATTTTAACCATTTTGATGGTGTGTAGATTGTATTTTTAAAGGTTTAAACCACCTAGTATGAAAGCTTATTTATTCTCATTCCACAAAAATATATTGAATGCCTGCTGTGTGCAAAGCATATAGTAGCTAGTTTCAGAAGGTAAAGTTTTCTGAATCCCTAATTCCATGCTTTTTTTTTTTTTTTTGGCTAGGCAATGGGGTTAAGTGACTTACCCAGGGTCACACAGCTAGTAAGTGTCAAGTGTTTGGTCTGAGGCCGGATTTGAACTCAGGTCCTCCTGACTCAGGCCTGGTGCTCTATCCACTACAACACCTAGTTGCCCCCCAGGCCTTCTTTATGACTAAGGACAAGTCACTTAATTGCTTTCAGTTCTTCACCTATAAAATAGGGATCATAATAGAATAATTAAATTGTTATTTAAATCTGTCTCCTATCACCATTATTTCTACAAGTCTTTATTTCACTACCCACTAATTGTGAAACATATAAAATGCACTAGGAACATTTAATAGAATAAAAATGTTATCTGACAATTCTAACATATCAGCTATGACATCAGCATTTTGCACTGTAGGTAAAGTATTCTAGATATTCTAATCATATATAATGCAAGTTTTACCAGTTGAAGAAACTTTACCTTGACAAAATGAAATCCATATTGTCTTTGATTTCTGGGCCTTTCCCACCTAGGCTACGAGAAATATAATACCATGAGAGCAGATCCAGCCTTATGCTTTCTAGAAAAGGCTGGCCGACCAGATGACAAAGCCATTGCAGCAGAGCATCGAGTGTTGGACAATTTTTCTGATATCGTAGAAGGGTGAGTGACTGAGCATCAAGTGTAGGCTTTCTCATAAATTACAATGTCCCTTCCCTTGAAGAACTTGATTATCAGGTCTAAGAAAAAGCACAACTGTGTCTTCTTAGATGAGCCCAGAGGAGATCTTGATGATCCTTGTAGTTTCCTGTGAGTAGTGTTATCTTGCCACAGGGTGGCAGTCACATAAAGAGTATGGCTGCCTGAGCCTAACTATGTAATGACCATAAGATGACAGCATTAATGAAAAGTTGTGATATTAAATTTCCCGTACTTTAAAAACATTTTTATATAGTCACAGCAACTGAGAGGATAAGTGGCTTGTTCAAAAGGTGATAGCTTACTGGAAAGATTTGGGCCAAGCTATCTAAAATTGTCCAGAAGTGAGATGGAATGCCTAGGGAAGTTGTGAGTTCCTTTTTACTAGCAGTCTTCAAAAGGATAGATGGATGGACCCCTGGGAGAGGTTGTAGAAGAGAGTCCTGTTGAGGTATAGCTTGGACTAAAATATCTCTGAGGTTTTTTCCAGCCCTGAGTTCTGGTCTTATAGCTCATGTATTATATATATATAGTCTCTGCCTAAGAATTTTCTGGTTTCTAGTCACATTTCTATTAATAGTGATGTTCACCACATATAGGCATTTATTTACTGGACCGTGGGCCCCCATGATGAGTTGCCATGCTAATACTGAGTCACCAATCAGGGCAGTATTGTTCTGGGCTGGGTACCAGTGAATGTAACAACACTTCTCCCGTGGAAACCTGAGGGGCACATGAAATAAACTTCTTTAGGTTTTAACAACTACCCTTTTGTGCAGAGTTTATGTGTTTATTTTCAAAGTTACAAAACTCATGTTTCTGATATCTAGTTACTTTATAAAAGTAAAAAAATAGGACTCATGACAAGGATCATGAGAGTAATGTCAAATTGACTGAGTGTATGTCAGTGTCATAAAATATATAATAGGAGTTTTAATTGAAAATATAACAGTGCTACTCTCTTGTGTGACCAGCAATCCTATGTAATGTTCAAAATTCAAGTGACTTTACATAATTCCTTTTATGTTCCTCAAAAGGAACATTTTTTTTGTTGGGTTTATCCATCCCCTTTCTTCGAAACAGTTCAGTGTATTAAACATGAAGAATAATAAAGTAAAATAATAAAACTAAAATAGTAGGGGAAGTTGGACACGATGGTCACTGAGGTAACTGTCAGCTCTAAATTTATGATCCTTTGAAGTAATAGGAGTTAAATATTGAAAAGAGTGATTAAAGGGGAAAAAGTAGGTGGTAAGAATTAGTCATGGCAAATTTAAATGCCATTCTATTTTGGGGGTCTGTTATGCATTAAATAGACTACAGACTTGCTTAGTCTAGCCTTCTAAGCAGTGGTATTGATTTTTCAGGAAAGGACAGGGCAAGAATGGCCACATGTCCAGAGTCTTCCTCTACTCTGGATTGATCTTGTATCCTTTAGCCTCAGGTTATATTACTTTTCCTTCTACCTTGGCAAGTTAACGAATAGTTGGCCTGTTTTCTATTTCAGCATCAAATTAAGACCATGGTACCTTATTTAGTACTAAATATATCTTGTTCAGTATTCAGTAAATTAATTAACCCCCTAGTTCTAGTTCTTTGGGATCTTTGTTCCATTTCAGAGGCAATGGAAACCCAATGCTATAAATGGTGATGAGTCATTTAACTAATTTTATTCTTCTCAGATAATCTGATCTCTAAGGTGGCTCATATTGATGTCTTGAACAAAGGCCTGAGTATCTGAACTTATTCTGTGTTCATCACATTGTGGGAGCCTGAGTGTTAACACTTAAGACAACCAGTAAAGAGAAATTGAGAATAGAAGTAGAGTTTTCCACAAGTCCTGAATCAAGGGAAAACAGTATCTTGTAGGCCTTCTGAAGCCTCTCTAGAGTGAAGAGGTAGATTTTTATTTTTCATTAGTGATTTTCACTGATCTCCTCTCCCCCAAATATTATCTAGCATTACCACCATTATCAAAAAGAGTAGATGTGAGGTTGAGGACAAGACTCAAAAATTAGTTGTTAGACTAGAGAGAACTAACAGCCTTTATGAAGGAAAATGGTAGCTGATACTTCTTTGTTATAGTCAGGGTCCCTTAGTACTTTTCAACTCTGACTTACTTATTTACTGAAATAGGACTTCTTCCCCTTCTCTCTGGATGTTTCAAAGCCAGAGATAGCACACAAGTGAGGCTCTGGAATAGAGCTGGTTTACTCTACCTTGTGTATTTGTGTTTTGCTAGGCTTTCATCCCAGGTTCTTACCAGTGAAACAAGGTAAGTCATTAATTCTTCTTGACATCTCTGTATGGTTTTAGGGTTGACTTTGATAAGGACTGTGAAGATCCTGAATACAAGCCACTTCAAGGCCCACCAAAGGACCAAGAGGATGAGGTGAGAAAGAAATCTTTTCCCATCCTTTAACTCCTGTATTATGGTGCCCCTCCTTGAAATTTAAATATTTGATCGATTTCTTAGATTGATTTGCTGAACCTCTGTGAACTGCATTCCGTCCATTCTCTCCCACCAAAAGACAGCTGTAGACACACACACGTATACACACACTCTTTACCATTGGTTTATGAAGAAAGTTCCATTTTCTTCATGTTCTGATGAGGGCCAGTGGGATTTACAATATTTGTATCTCTCTGTGGATAGTAATTTCATTGCGAATCATTCTTCCTCTACTTGATACCCAAGAGGAGCACAGGGCAAATATTTCAGCATTTCAACATCTTTGTTTTACCCCCTTCCCCATTCTCTTGGTGGGATGGGTCTCTTTCTCTAGGGTGACCCTTTGATGATGATGGATGAGGAGATTTCTGTGATTGACAGTGATGAAGGTAACCTGGGTTCCCAAAGTTCAGTTTTTTCATGGGGGAGGCTGGGCTAAGAGAGAACAAATTGTAGGGAGTATTGTCTTAATTCTCTCCCAAGTTGACTGGGATTGCCTTGTGGGTGGGTGGAAACCTCAGTCTATCTCCTTCACTAGCCCTTTCTCCATTCCCTACTTACTCTGCTTTACTTCCCACAGTCCAGGTGACCCAGCAGCCAGGTCATCTCTTCTGGCCTCCAGGCTCAGCCCTGACAGCCAGACTGCGGCGTCTGGTTACTGCCTATCAACGTAGCTATAAGCGAGAACAGATGAAGATAGAGGCAGCAGAGCGTGGGGACCGGCGGCGACGACGTTGTGAGGCAGCCTTCAAATTGAAAGAAATTGCACGGCGAGAGAAGCAGCAGCGGTAAATCAGTAAAAGGGGAATGAATTAATTGAATTTATTTCTAATTATGTTATCTTTCTCCTGCTAGTCTTCTCTCAATTAAGTTTCTAAAGGGAGGAGTTCTTGAGCTTCTTACAAAGAGACGGTTTCTTACCTGCTAAAGTTATAGAGCCTATGGGATTAAGAAACCCACTTTTGAGCACAGTATCCCAGGAATGTCTCCTCTGATAAGGGAAACCATTTATATAAGATGTTCATTATCATCTAGTTTGTTAATTCTTCTGTTTTTCAGATACCATTAACCACTTCTTTTGCTGCCTTCTGGAGCATGTTTACTTCTTCTCTTAAATTTTGTTGGCATTGGTAATCTTAAGTTGCCAAATTGTAAGAAACCTCCTGTGCTCATCTGATTATTGACCATGTATTTTTTCTTCCAATTTATAGATGGACAAGGCGTGAGGAATCAGATTTCTACCGAGTGGTGTCAACGTTTGGAGTGGAGTTTGATCCTGACACCCTACACTTCCACTGGGGTCGATTCCGTACATTTGCCCGTCTGGACAAAAAAACAGATGAAAGCCTTACCAAGTACTTCCATGGTTTTGTGGCCATGTGCCGACAGGTGTGCCGTCTGCCCCCTGCTGCTGGAGATGGTAAGTGGTTCTGAGACAAATCCAGGATGACTGGGAAGGAATGATGAAAGAACTAGCAGTTAACTCTTCTTCACTTGTGTCTCCTTGCAGAATCCCCAGACCCCACTCTATTCATTGAACCCATCACAGAGGAGAGGGCCTCACGAACTCTTTTCCGAATTGAGTTGCTTCGGCGATTACGGGAACAAGTACTATGCCATCCATTATTAGAAGACCGATTGGCTTTGTGCCAACCCCCAGGCCCTGAATTGCCCAAGTGGTGGGAACCAGTTCGACATGATGGGGAACTTCTCCGAGGGGCAGCCCGCCATGGGGTGAGCCAAACAGACTGCAATATCATGCAGGACCCAGACTTCTCCTTCCTGGCTGCTCGTATGAATTACATGCAGAGCCAACAGGCAGGAGCACCAGCTCCATCCCTGTCACGCTGTTCTACCCCACTCCTACACCAACAGTATGCCTCGAGCACCGCCTCACCACTGCCACTGCGTCTAGACGCTCCTACTGAAAAGCTGCCAGAGGAGGCAACAACCTGTGGCCCCAGCCTGGAGAGTCTGGCCTTAAAACTAGAGCATGAGGCGATGGCCAAAAATAGGCCAATTCCACAAGACTATGAGCTACAGGTAGCCCCTTCTGATCCTACCCCCATGACTTCCCAAAGTGTTCCACCAGTCAAACTGGAGGAAGAGGATGATTCGGACTCTGAGCTGGACTTAAGCAAACTGTCACCATCCTCCTCCTCCTCTTCCTCCTCATCCAGCTCCAGCTCTAGCACTGAAGATAGTGAAGATGAAAAGGAAGAGAAGCTGAGTAAGTGCATATTTTAGGGGTTATTGGTCTTTTTCCCTTTTTTTCTGTCATAACTTCCCCTTTTTTAAATCTTGTTTGTATCCACCTTGTGATTTTATATCACCTTTATTTCTGAATATATCTCTCTTCCCTCCCCTAATAATCAAGCCATCATTTGTGACAAAGAATTTCTTAAAAAGACAGGGCAGCTTCACAAAATCAGCCAACACATTTTAATCAAATCTGATAATATGCAATATTCCATGCCCATAGTTCCCCACCTCTGCAGATAATTTCCCTTTGTTTTGTAAATGCATTATTCTTCATGAGATGCTCAGAATTGGACTTGATAGCCCAAATGAAATTTATCCTTTCAGTCATAATGTAATTTCTCTTCTTCCATTTCTGCTCATTTGGGTATTTCTGTGTGTCATCTCCAGGTGCTGACCAGTCCTGCTCCAAACTCTATGATGAAGAGAGTCTCATGTCCCTCACCATGTCCCAGGATGGATTCCCTAATGAAGATGGAGAGCAAATGACTCCTGAACTGTTGTTGCTTCAGGAGAGGCAGAGAGCTTCTGAATGGCCCAAGGTGACAACCTATTTCTGGGCCCAAAGTGAAGGGGAAACTATGATAGGGGTTAGAGAGAGAGATGTGAATGGAAGTTTTTGTTTTGTTTTCATTGTGGGGGATCAGTCCTGCTGTTTCTTTAGTGACTGTAGTCTAGTTTGACTGGTTTAAGAGACCTGGAAGCTGGAGACTAGCCTCTATGCCTCAAAGGCTTTGCCTCACGAAGCATCTTAGCTGCAACAGAAGATTTCACAGCACCATTTGGGATCATTAAATACATTCTGTAGTCAACGTCTGCACTAAAACTAATATTGGTTCTGTTTCTTCCTGATTAGGATCGTGTCCTGATAAACCGCATTGACCTCGTCTGCCAGGCTGTCCTCTCAGGGAAATGGCCCTCCAACCGCCGGAACCAAGAAATGGTGACTGGAGGGTCACTGGGACAAGGCAACCATCTGCTGGATAGTCCTCTGCTGGCTCCAGGCGAATATGGTGACTCA